GTCTTTCCATGGGGTGCGACGACAGTCTGACGCTCAGCTGCCTCGGGTCTGGGGCAGCCCTTTCGCATCTCAAGCCTGACGAGCGCATTCGCGCTCGACATCCCGTCAGCGATATCCTCCATCGCCTTTTCTACTCCGCTGTTGCGCCAGGCGGCGGCAGGCGTGGGCGCAGGGGTTTCCTCTCGTCGACAACTGTCGTCTGTGGTTCGGTTGTCTCCGCTTCGACATCTCGTCTCCGCGTCCTGCGTCAGCAAGTGGCCACCGCCGTTTGCGCTGAGCCCTTGTCGAACAGTTGCCCCATCGTGTGCGCTTCGCCGTCGTCGAAGAAGTGCGCCTGCTCGAAGAACTGTGAGCCGTCAAAGAGCAGCGCCATCGTGTGCGTTGTGCCCTCTTCAAGGTAAAGTGTTGTTCTGCCTGCCCTCGTGTCAGGCATGTTTGCCGGCCCATGGGAGCGGCCGCGTCGCGCCACCTGTTCCAAGTTGTGGGGACGGAGGGAAAGGATGTCGGTGACATTGGGCCACATGGTTTATGTGTCCCCTTCTGATTCCCGCTCGTTCTTTCCTCGCGAGCGGCCCCGTGATTCTTGCTTGTCGTCATCACCATCATCATTGCCCCCATCATCACCATCATCGTCGCCGCCACCATCAGTGTCATCATCTTCATCATCATCATCATCATCACCATCATTGTCATCGTGATCATCATCATCTTCATCAACATCATCATCATCATCAACCTCGTCAACGTCATCAACATCGTCATCATCATCGACATCATCATCAACATCATCAACGTCATCAACAACATCATCATCATCAGCGACATCGTCGCCGTGATCAAAATCACGACCATCGTCCTCTTCGTTGTCATCGCCATCATCAACATCGTCATCATCGTCGTCATCATCGTCATCATCATCATCGTCGTCATCACAATCATCATCATCACGAACATCATCATCGACATCATCATCGTCATCAACATCGTCATCATCGGCAGCGACATCGTCGCCCTGATCAACATCACCACCGTAATCGTCACCATCATCGTGTTCATCACCGTCGTCATCATTATCATCATGTCGTGCCACGTGTCGCAAGTGGTTGGGACGGCGGGATCGGATGACGTGGACATCGGGGCACACGGTTTGTGTGTCCCGTTCTGCTTCTCTCTCATTCGTTCCACTCGACCGCCCCCACAACTCTTGTTTGGCTTGGCATTGAAGAAAAACTGTCGTTGATCACAAGCTGGACATTGCAAACCACTCCCGCGCGGTCGAGGCAAACGCGAAATCGCCTATTCCCAGCGGAACACGAAACCCCTTCGAAACACTTCCGTCGCTCGTTTGATGTTCTCAACAAAGAGATTAGAGGTTGGTTATCACAAAGGAGACGGATGGGCTGCGTGCGACCGCTGTTGGTACTAAGCGTCGCGCGGTGGCCTTGGTGGGAAGGATGTCTGCCGTCCACGTGGCGTGTAGTGAGAGGTAAGGTATTCATAAACAGGAGGGGGTCGTCGTTCCGTGTTCGTGTTCTCGCCGCAGCACTTGAGCCTCCCTCCCCGAAGAGACTATGGCGTCAATCCCGGGAGAGTTGCTGTCGTCTCCATCCCGCGCACACAACGTGCACATGATCCACCATAGAGGCCATGGATGTTGAGCGCGCGCTCCTGGCGCTGGCGGTGAGGGATGCGATATCGCATTCCGCACGACAAATGCTAGGACTGTGCGTGCAACATCCGCGGGCTCCAGAACGAAGAATGCACACGTTGCGTGCGTGCGATGGAGAACGTTTGCGCCGCTCGCTGCAATGACGATGGCGTTTCTTCGGCGTGAGCGCCGCATGTTTCGTGATGACAACCTCGACACGAAAACATGGCCTCGTTCAGTAACGAACAATCCGGCCGCCTCCGGGAAACGTCTCAGTCATCGGGGCAAGGGGGGTCGCCATTGTCACCGCAAGCTCGAAACCAACAACAGTTAAACGAAAAACGGCGCGTGGCATGTGGTTGCCTGGCGAGATGGGAAGTTCGAATCCCGGCGAACTACAACAATCATGCGCAGTGCTCTCGCGAAAGCAGCAATCTGTTGCCATTGTGCGGCCGCAGGGAGAGCACGCGCAGGTGCGAAAATAGCGCATGATTGCTGTAGTTCGCCGGGATTCGAAGTTCTCATTTTTTTTGTGGTTGTTGACTTCGCGTTCGCAGTCACAATGCCATCCCAGGTTGCCCTGATGACTACGTTTTGCGGGACACAGTTCCCATCTTTCGGGCGTGGGGTCGATAGTTCATAACGCCATGCCAGTTTTCAGCGTGCGACGAAGTTCGGATCCCGGCGAACTTGCAATCTGAAGCATGCGAAGTCGCGGGCTGCTCGGATGATTATTGTTGTTTCGACCGCGTCGCTGAAATAAGACGCTTACGGTTTGCATGGATCTTTTCAGAGTCCTGGTT